TTCAAATATAAAGCCCAATAAGCTCAGGAATCTGTACACCTGTTTGGTTAGCGGTTGAGAGGTTAGAGCCAAAGAGCCGAAGCTCAACCCCAGCCCCCCCCCCACCCGCAAGCGCCACTAGGTGAGTACATAAATTACCTTTAGGTCGAAATTCTTGCCGTTTGGGTAAACCAAGTATAATTAGTATAACCAAGTATAATAACCAAGTATAATTTCTGTGTTTTAAATAAACCTCCGCAGTAACCCCACACAATTTATCATCTGAAAATATCTTCTTTCATTTTACTTTAAATTTATTGTGTCGAATTTAGGTCTAATTGTTAATAATTGTCACCTGGGATATTAGTGAGGCGCCTGCCATTGTTCTCACAATCGCATAGCTCATAGACTTGAAGTTAAATTTTAACACATGATGTTAGGATTAACAACACAATTAACGGAGGCATGGATGCCCAACCAGTCTGTGACTCATACGTCAGGCTGCGAGCAGCCGCGTCCAACAGCCTGGTTGATCAGTCCAGCAACCAGGAGGCCTGGTCGACGACCGGGCCGCGGGGACGCTAAGCCCCGGAAGCACCTCAAGGGATGCCCAACTATATACCCTGGAAACACAAACCGAAACTGTCTCTATTTTCCGCTTGTTACAACTTGTAATAAAGTTGTTACATCTTGGCTTAACGTGTTTATGACGTATTAGAACGTTGTTACAACTTGTTATATTGGTTGTTATAACTGGTTAGGAGGTGTTAAAACTTGTTCGAACGTTGTACCAACGTCGTAGTTTCGGTGTGTGTTTGGTGGGATATAGCATTGTACTCACCTAGTTGTTAGTAGTGACTCCTAGTTAGGTAAACACATGTTTACCTAAGTGTTCCCTATATGTGAATACAATAACCAATGGTGAGGTAAATCCCCGCAAGAATATAGTTCCACAACTACCTGACCTCGGATTCACAAAGCAGTTACGCAAGCACTTACGAACCTTTACAACTTTTCTCACTATTTGTCGGCTTTGTTTACAACTATTAAACAGTTAATGAGCTCCGAAGCACCAGGAGGCTGTTTATAACAATAACAACAGTTAATTGGAAAGTTTTCATGCTTGTAAACTGTTTAATAAATGTAACCAAAGCCGTCAAAGATTGAGGAAAGATGTACACGTTCGTAAGTGTTTGCGTAACTGCTTCGTGAATCTGACCCCAGGATGTTACAAATCGGAAAATAAATAGCAAAATAACCAATAAAGAAGGCAGGAAAGATGAAGGAACGAAGACATAATAAACAACGATGATAAAGGAACAAACAAACATACGGTCGTGGAATGAATCACGTCATTATTTTTTTTTTAAGTATGATCATCAGTTGTTTATTGGTCATTTAAATATTTAGATGATATGCAGATTCTTTTGGCGCATGGTTTGATATGCAAATTTCTCTTCCACGCCCCAGATTATGGTTATTCCTGCACGGTCACTGTGGCGGGGCTGGTGTGGGGGGCTCTATAGTATGGTGAGGGAGGACAGGTGTGTGTTGGGGGGGAGTGTGGGGGGGTTGGTGGGGGGTTGGTGGTGGTGTGGGTAATGGGTGGTGGTGGTGTGGTTAATGGGTGCAGGTGGTGGTGTGGGTAATGGGTGGTGGTGGTGGTGTGGTTAATGGGTGCAGGTGGTGGTGTGGTTAATGGGTGGTGGTGGTGGTGTGGTTCATAGGTGGTGGTGGTGGTATGGTTAAGGAGTCGTGGTTGTGTGGTTAAGGGGTAGTGATAGTGGTAATTATTCTGAACATAAGGTATGCAGTGGGGGGGAGGGGGAAGCAAGGTAACGATGGTACCTGTTTGTAGTGGACATTTCCCTCGTGGCTGACCTTATTCTCGTTTACGACTTCGTTACTCAGCTGGATTCATTCATCACTGGCTTCCTGGTTCGTCCATCCCTGTTGGACAGTCAACGATCCCTGTAATGACCGTTAACTTCACCTGTCATTCTCCTCAGAGTCCTATACCACAATTACTGAGGGTCGTACGTTATCTCACCTGAGCGCCTCCAGAGAGAACTGACAAGAATATGTATAAACACTTCTCTCATGAAGGGAAATGAAGAAAACTTGATTCCCATTTTCTACAGAGGTAAAGAACGAGAAATGTTCCAAATGTTTCCAGGAGTGAAGAGGCACATGGCGCTCGGGAAACTTCTCTTAATATACTGGAAGCGCTGGGAGAACTTCTCTTAATATACTGGAAGTGCTAGGAGAACTTCTCTTAATATACTGGAAGCGCTAGGAGAACTTCTCTTAATATACTGGAAGCGCTAGGAGAACTTCTCTTAATATACTGGAAGTGCTAGGAGAACTTCTCTTAATATACTGGAAGCGCTAGGAGAACTTCTCTTAATATACTGGAAGCGCTAGGAGAACTTCTCTTAATATACTGGAAGTGCTAGGAGAACTTCTCTTAATATACTGGAAGTGCTAGCAGAACTTCTCTTAATATACTGGAAGCGCTAGGAGAACTTCTCTTAATATACTGGAAGTACTAGCAGAACTTCTCTTAATATACTGAAAACGCTAGGAGAATGTTCATAATATGTTCAGAATAAATGTACCTATATTCAGCTCTATTAAACAGCTACTGTTTATGGTTCATAGTTAACGAGTTCACTCTATAAAGTTTACCTTACCTTGCGATGATTTCGGGGCTCAACGTACCCGCGGCCCGGTCCTCGACCAGGCATCCTCGTTGCTGGACTGGTCAACCAGGCTGTTGGACGCGGCTGCTCGCAGCCTGACGTATGAATCACAGCCTGGTTGATCAGGTATCCTTTGGAGGTGCTTATCCAGTTCTCTCTTGAACACTGTGAGGGGTCGGCCAGTTATGTCCCTTATGTGTAGTGGAAGCGTGTTGAACAGTCTCAGGCCTCTGATGTTGATCGCTCTCTCTTGAACACTGTGAGGGGTCGGCCAGTTATGTCCCTTATGTGTAGTGGAAGCGTGTTGAACAGTCTCGGGGCCTCTGATGTTGATAGTTCTCTCTTGAACACTGTGAGGGGTCGGCCAGTTATGTCCCTTATGTGTAGTGGAAGCGTGTTGAACAGTCTCGGGCCTCTGATGTTGATAGTTCTCTCTTGAACACTGTGAGGGGTCGGCCAGTTATGTCCCTTATGTGTAGTGGAAGCGTGTTGAACAGTCTCAGGCCTCTGATGTTGATAGTTCTCTCTTGAACACTGTGAGGGGTTTGCCAGTTATGTCCCTTATGTGTAGTGGAAACGTGTTGAACAGTCTCGGGGCCTCTGATGTTGATAGTTCTCTCTTGAACACTGTGAGGGGTCGGCCAGTTATGTCCCTTATGTGTAGTGGAAGCGTGTTGAACAGTCTCGGGCCTCTGATGTTGATAGTTCTCTCTTGAACACTGTGAGGGGTCGGCCAGTTAAGTCCCTTATGTGTAGTGGAAGCGTGTTGAACAGTCTCGGGCCTCTGATGTTGATAGTTCTCTCTTGAACACTGTGAGGGTCGGCCAGTTATGCCCCTTATGTGTAGTGGAAGCGTGTTGAACAGTCTCGGGCCTCTGATGTTGATAGTTCTCTCTTGAACACTGTGAGGGGTCGGCCAGTTATGTCCCTTATGTGTAGTGGAAGCGTGTTGAACAGTCTCGAGCCTCTGATGTTGATAGTTCTCTCTTGAACACTGTGAGGGGTCGGCCAGTTATGTCCCTTATGTGTAGTGGAAGCGTGTTGAACAGTCTCGGGCCTCTGATGTTGATAGTTCTCTCTTGAACACTGTGAGGGGTCGGCCAGTTATGCCCCTTATGTGTAGTGGAAGCGTGTTGAACAGTCTCGGGCCTCTGATGTTGATAGTTCTCTCTTGAACACTGTGAGGGGTCGGCCAGTTATGTCCCTTATGTGTAGTGGAAGCGTGTTGAACAGTCTCGGGCCTCTGATGTTGATAGTTCTCTCTTGAACACTGTGAGGGGTCGGCCAGTTATGTCCCTTATGTGTAGTGGAAGCGTGTTGTACAGTCTCAGGCCTCTGATGTTGATAGTTCTCTCTCAGAGTACCTGTTGCACCTCTGCTCTTCAACAGGGGTATTCTGCACATCCTGCCATGCCTTCCCTTCAGGTAATCACAGTGAATAATTCATAGCGAGTAATTGTACGAAGGTAATCAGTGTTAATAATTCATTGTGTTGACTGTATAAAGACAATCACTGTAAATAATTCACAGATAACATATTCACTGCATGAGGATAATTACTGCCAATAATTCACCGTAGTATTACCCCCACAGTGGCATGCTATTTCCCCGAAACTTATAACAAAAGAAAAAAAAACACACCATCATAAAAATATCGAGGTAAAAACGCATCACAATGGAAATTTAAGTCATAATTCAGGTTCCAGGTCGAGCCACCGAGTCAGGAAAGGGAGGGGAAGGGAAGGGGGGGGGGGGGAGAGAGAACGGGCAAAAATACCAGAAAAATGGCCATAATTTGGCCCCTTTTTTCCACCTGTCATTGTTGGGGACGTGAATATGCGCGCCCTTGAAAAACTTAACATTTTCTCCTCCATTGTGAACAGGGGATTCATGCCTGGTACACTGTGTGTGTTTGTGTGTTTGTGTGTGTGGGTGTATGGGAGAGAGAGAGAGAGAGAGAGAGAGAGAGAGAGAGAGAGAGAGAGAGAGAGAGAGAGAGAGAGAGAGAGAGAGAGAGAGAGAGAGGGGGGGGGGGGGGTACAGGGGATGTAAACACACAGTAGAAAACGGAAACTGTTAAAATAAAGTTTGAAAGTGTAAAAGTGTGACGGTATGTTAGTGTAAGAGAGAGAGGGAGGTAGGGAGGGTGGGAAGAGAGATAGGGAGGGTGAGAGGGAAGGTAGGGAGGAAAGGTAAGGGAGGAATTAAAGGAAAACAAAACAAATGAAGTTTTAAACAGAGACACGTTGATACAGAGGCAAATGTATTGATGTATTACGAATCAAGAACCATAATGTGCGTGTCAAGGACCAGCGTGTCATGTGTCAAGGACCAGCGTGCCATGTGTCAAGTACCAGCGTGCCACGTGTCAAGGACCAGCGTGTCATGTGTCAAGGACCAGCGTGCCAGCGTGTCAAGGACCAGCGTGCCATGTGTCAAGGACCAGCGTGCCACGTGTCAAGGACCAGCGTGCCATGTGTAAAGGACCAGCGTGCCACGTGTCAAGGACCAGCGTGCATGTGTCAAGGACCAGCGTGCATGTGTCAAGGACCAGCGTGCCATGTGTCACGGACCAGCGTGCCATGTGTCAAGGACCAGCGTGCCATGTGTCAAGTACCAGCGTGCCATGTGTCAAGGACCAGCGTGCCATGTGTCAAGGACCAGCGTGTCATGTGTCAAGGACCAGCGTGCCATGTGTCAAGTACCAGCGTGCCACGTGTCAAGGACCAGCGTGCCACGTGTCAAGGACCAGCGTGCCATGTGTCAAGGACCAGCGTGCCATGTGTCAAGGACCAGCGTGCATGTGTCAAGGACCAGCGTGCCATGTGTCAAATACCAGCGTGCATGTGTCAAGGACCAGCGTGCCATGTGTCAAGTACCAGCGTGCATGTGTCAAGGACCAGCGTGCATGTGTCAAGGACCAGCGTGCCACGTGTCAAGGACCAGCGTGCCATGTGTCAAGGACCAGCGTGCCATGTGTCAAGGACCAGCGTGCCATGTGCCAAGTACCAGCGTGCCATGTGTCAAGGACCAGCGTGCCATGTGTCAAGTACCAGCGTGCCATGTGTCAAGGACCAGCGTGCCATGTGTCAAGGACCAGCGTGCCATGTGTCAAGTACCAGCGTGCCACGTGTCAAGTACCAGCGTGCCAGCGTGCCACGTGTCAAGTACCAGCGTGCCACGTGTCAAGTACCAGCGTGCCAGCGTGCCACGTGTCAAGTACCAGCGTGCCAGCGTGCCATGTGTCAAGGACCAGCGTGCCATGTGTCAAGGACCAGCGTGCCATGTGTCAAGGACCAGCGTGCCATGTGTCAAGGACCAGCGTGCCACGTGTCAAGGACCAGCGTGCCATGTGTCAAGGACCAGCGTGCCATGTGTCAAGGACCAGCGTGCCACGTGTCAAGGACCAGCGTGCCATGTGTCAAGGACCAGCGTGCCATGTGTCAAGGACCAGCGTGCCATGTGTCAAGGACCAGCGTGCCACGTGTCAAGGACCAGCGTGCCATGTGTCAAGGACCAGCGTGCCACGTGTCAAGGACCAGTGTGCCATGTGTCAAGGACCAGCGTGCCATGTGTCAAGGACCAGCGTGCCATGTGTCAAGGACCAGCGTGCCACGTGTCAAGGACCAGTGTGCCATGTGTCAAGGACCAGCGTGCCATGTGTCAAGGACCAGCGTGCCATGTGTCAAGGACCAGCGTGCCATGTGTCAAGGACCAGCGTGCCACGTGTCAAGGACCAGCGTGCCATGTGTCAAGGACCAGCGTGCCATGTCAGGCAGGCATGTGTGTGAAAGGTTAGCTGTGTGTTGGAGTTTGAAATGATTTCACTATTGGAAATGTCAGGTGTACGAGAGTGGTCAGATATGTGATTGAGTCAATTTAATACTTGTGGAGAGCCTAGGGGGGGGGGAGAGGAGAGAGAGTGTGAGTGTCTGTCTGTCTGTCTGTCTGTCTGTCTGTCTGTCTGTCTGTCTGTCTGTGTTAGTAATTTTGTGCATTTGTTTTATACAGGAAACTGTGTCTTGCAATGAGTGTGTGTGAGGTCAGAGTAATTCTGTACTAGCGAAAGTTTCCCTGTTTCATGTTCATCGTCGTTGTCGTTGTCATGTTGACGACGACGACGACGACGACGACGATGATGACGCGGGCCAAAAGCTGGAGCTTGGAGCTGAACCCGGAACAGTTAATTGGCGGTGTGTCCACCTGACCGCGGCGGACCCCGCAGGTAACATGAGTTGCCACATCACGCGAGTCTGGGAACCCTGAGTGACGGGGTGGGTGGGCGGTGGTGTGGTGGGTGGGCGGGTGGTAGTGTGGTGTGGTGTGGTGGGCGGTGTGGTGGGTGGGCGTTGATGTGGTGTGTAGGTGGGCGAGTCAGTAGTTGGGTGGGCGGGGGAGTCAGTGGGTGGGCGGGGGAGTCAGTGGGTGGCCCCCACATGTGAACAATCAAGTCTTTTTGTCCCCGGTACTTGTCCCGCCTCACCCATGGTTCATGGGGGACTCTTCAATCACCTCAGGTTCACTTCAGCTGTCGTCCACATTAACTAATATCGACAGAAAAATAAGACGAGGACCACTGAGTCAACTGCCTTGAAACAAACCATTTGGAAATGTTAATAGGAATCCAACGCAAATGACAAAAAAAAAAATCCACCATTAACGACCTGTCGAGAGGTAAAGAGTAAAAATATGTCACCTGTCACAATGCCATAATTAAATCACTTTAATAATAACTCAAGAGTTTTACCATACTTGTCCAAGCGCTTGTACTCTCTAGGTCGGAGAGCTGCCAAGCACCAAATGCCTCATTTAAAACTGACGAAATTGTTAATCCGGGAATGAGAGGAGTGTATTTTATTTATACTTACGTTGGGAATTAGTCCTGGAAACGAGCCCAATTAGGTTATTAGCTCTGATATTTGTTTTATCTCCAGATCTCCAGTATCTATATGGTCTCTGTCATGAGCCACAGCGATGCTCGAAGATAAGACTTTTTCTCTTAAATCGTTGAAGTTTCAGGCCTTTAAGTGAATAAATAAAAAATATCTCTCTGGGTGAGTGAAAGTCAAATCCATCAGTTTACCGGAGTGAACTTATCTTCATGACACAGCTTTATATATACACCGTTATTTATATACATATCCACAACTAAGTTACAGTTAAGTCAAGGCACAAGTCAAGCAGCCAGATGTCACTAAATACAGATCACATAATAACATTTGTTCACTGGACAGCTTAAGACTGGCTGTTAAGTTGTGAAGATGGTGGATAGTGACGTTACATAACCAGAGTAGGGAATGATGTCTCAGCATGAACATTATTAATACAAGTCAATGAAGATCATACTCAAGTCTATCGACTTGAGTATGGTCCAGGACGGACCGAAACGTCGTCGTCCCTACACCTTCTAGTGTATGGTCTGGTCAACATACTTTGGCCACGTTATTGTGACTCATCGCCTGCAAGTCAATGAAGTATCACTTTGTCTTCAGAAAAACTAAGTCCGAACTGGACTAACAAATGGCAAAGTCAGTTACTTGTCTTCAAAAGTTAGAGTTCACAATGTCTCAGAGTCAGAAATCGCCTCTCAAAAATAAAGTCCACAAACCCTAAAATTTGGCTAAGTCACTCGTCTCCAGAGTTAGAGTCCACACAGGCACCAGACGACGACAGTGTCCCCAAACGGCTTAAATACTAATACAAGTCACCTCACCAAGAAGTTACACGTATTAATCCAGTGAGAACACTTCAGGAACTCTGATCCAGACTAATAATCCACTTCTACATAATGGTAAGAAGTTCAAAAGATATATATATATATATTACGTACAGCTACACAAATACATATATATATATCAATAATCTTTTTATGCAAAAAGTGCCTAAAGGTTATGGATATCTCTTGAAGCTCCTCCACTTCCGGACAGGAACCGAGGACGCAGCAGGCATTTCCCCTCTGGATCGCCACACTGAGGCGCTGAAACAAAAAACTGGCAGCTCTTGGGTCCCTGGTGACGTCAATGAGCTTGGAACCCAATTCCTTGAGAAATCCCAAGGCACTCTTGCCCCAGGGGCCATGCGTCTCAGACGCTATGGGAACAAAGAGGTATTGACCTTCCAGTCGCCTGTACTTGAGTGATTTTGCTGTTTCCCTGTGGTTTTATATCACAAGTGATTCAATAATGGCTCACAATAGTCACTATATATGGCAACCACCTAGTCTTGCTCCACACCCACCCAACTGGGCGGCAGCTTTACAGTCATGTGCTCCACACCCACCCAACTGGGCGGCAGCTTTACAGTCATGTGCTCCACACCCACCCAACTGGGCGGCAGCTTTACAGTCATGTGCTCCACACCCACCCAACTGGGCGGCAGCTTTACAGTCATGTGCTCCACACCCACCCAACTGGGTGGCAGCTTTACAGTCATGTGCTCCACACCCACCCAACAGGGCGGCAGCTTTGCAGACATGTGGTCCACACCCACCCAAATGGGCGGTAGCTTTACAGTCATGTGCTCCACACCCACCCAACAGGGCGGCAGCTTTGCAGTCATGTGGTCCACACCCACCCAACTGGGCGGCAGCTTTACAGCCATGTGCTCCACACCCACCCAACTGGGCGGCAGCTTTACAGTCATGTGCTCCACACCCACCCAACAGGGCGGCAGCTTTGCAGTCATGTGGTCCACACCCACCCAACTGGGCGGTAGCTTTACAGTCATGTGCTCCACACCCACCCAACTGGGCGGCAGCTTTACAGTCATGTGCTCCACACCCAGCCAACTGGGCGGCAGCTTTACAGTCATGTGCTCCACACTTACCCAACTGGGCGGCAGCTTTACAGTCATGTGCTCCACACCCAGCCAACTGGGCGGCAGCTTTACAGTCATGTGCTCCACACCCCACCCAACTGGGCGCCAGCTTTACAGTCATGTGCTCCACACCCACCCAACTGGGCGGCAGCTTTACAGTCATGGGCTCCACACCCACCCAACTGGGCGGCAGCTTTGCAGTCATGTGGTCCACACCCACCCAACTGGGCGGTAGCTTTACAGTCATGTGCTCCACACCCACCCAATTGGGCGGCAGCTTTACAGCCATGTGCTCCACACCCACCCAACTGGGCGGTAGCTTTACAGTCATGTGCTCCACACCCAGCCAACTGGGCGGCAGCTTTACACTCATGTGCTCCACACCCCACCCAACTGGGCGGCAGCTTTACAGTCATGTGTTCCACACCCATCCAACTGGGCGGCAGCTTTACAGTCATGTGCTCCACACCCACCCAACTGGGCGGCAGCTTTGCAGTCATGTGGTCCACACCCACCCAACTGGGCGGCAGCTTTACAGTCATGTGCTCCACACCCACCCAACTGGGCGGCAGCTTTACAGTCATGTGCTCCACACCCACCCAACTGGGCGGCAGCTTTACAGTCATGTGCTGCACACCCACCCAACTGGGCGGCAGCTTTACAGTCATGTGCTCCACACCCACCCAACTGGGCGGCAGCTTTACAGTCATGTGCTCCACACCCACCCAACTGGGCGGCAGCTTTACAGTCATGTGCTCCACACCCCACCCAACTGGGCGGCAGCTTTACAGTCATGTGCTCCATACCCACCCAACTGGGCGGCAGCTTTACAGTCATGTGCTCCACACCCACCCAACTGGGCGGCAGCTTTACAGTCATGTGCTCAACAGCCCACCTAACTGCGCAGCAGCTTTACAGTCATGTGCTCCACACACACCCAACTGGGCGGCAGCTTTACAGTCATGTGCTCCACACCCACCCAACTGGGCGGCAGCTTTACAGCCATGTGCTCCACACCCACCCAACTGGGCGGCAGCTTTACAGCCATGTGCAGCATCACCTACAGTCAGCAAACTTTGGATACTTCACTAAGATTCCCGGCAGCACATCATTATGACTGAAGTACTTACACATTTCGTGGACACCATTGATGGTGTTATCTCTGAATACCGCGATTTTGTTCACATTCCATTATATAATGACGCAAAGTATGCGAATAGTTCTGTTAAGGACCACAAGAATAGCAGATTCTACTATTGAGAGCAAGCGACAGAGAAACAAGGAGGGAGAGAGAGAGAGAGAGAGAGAGAGAGAGAGAGAGAGAGAGAGAGAGAGAGAGAGAGAGAGAGAGAGAGAGAGAGAGAGAGAGAGAGAGAGAGCAGGCGCCGGACGCAACAGTCACGTTCGAGTTAGTGTTCCCTGGGATTTGTCACAGGGTCGAATCACTCTCCAATCCTTATCCTCTCCCCTCTTTGACCACCATCTTTATCCTCTCCTCCTCCCTGACCACCATCTTTATCCCCCCGTGGTCTCAGATCTCAGAAGATGGAAGAAATATATTGAACGATGGGACAGAGGCTCCAAGAAACGGATAAGGGTGGCGGCGGGCTTAGAATAGGATGGGGCGCTCTTCCATTGCCGGGTCTTCACCAAGCGAGGAGAGACACGGGCTATGAGTTCCACCAAATCTGGACCTTTTGCCGTTCATTGTACTTGTAAATCTTTCTCCTTCATTATCGTGGCCGTGGTCATGCTGTACGCCTTGATGCTACGTGCACGCCCTCCATGCTACGTGCACGCCCTGCATGCTACGTGCACGCCCTCCAAGCTACGTGCACGCCCTCCATGCTACGTGCGCGCCCTCCATGCTACGTGCACGCCCTCCATGCTACGTGCACGCCCTCCAAGCTACGTGCACGCCCTCCATGCTACGTGCGCGCCCTCCATGCTACGTGCACGCCCTCCATGCTACGTGCACGCCCTCCATGCTACGTGCACGCCCTCCATGCTACGTGCACGCCCTCCATGCTACGTGCACGCCCTCCATGCTACGTGCACGCCCTCCAAGCTACGTGCACGCCCTCCAAGCTACGTGCACGCCCTCCATGCTACGTGCACGCCCTCCATGCTACGTGCACGCCCTCCATGCTACGTGCACGCCCTCCATGCTACGTGCACGCCCTCCATGCTACGTGCACGCCCTCCAAGCTACGTGCACGCCCTCCAAGCTACGTGCACGCCCTCCATGCTACGTGCGCGCCCTCCATGCTACGTGCACGCCCTCCATGCTACGTGCACGCCCTCCAAGCTACGTGCACGCCCTCCATGCTACGTGCGCGCCCTCCATGCTACGTGCACGCCCTCCATGCTACGTGCACGCCCTCCATGCTACGTGCACGCCCTCCATGCTACGTGCACGCCCTCCAAGCTACGTGCACGCCCTCCAAGCTACGTGCACGCCCTCCAAGCTACGTGCACGCCCTCCATGCTACGTGCACGCCCTCCATGCTACGTGCACGCCCTCCAAGCTACGTGCACGCCCTCCAAGCTACGTGCACGCCCTCCAAGCTACGTGCACGCCCTCCAAGCTACGTGCACGCCCTCCAAGCTACGTGCACGCCCTCCAAGCTACGTGCACGCCCTCCAAGCTACGTGCACGCCCTCCAAGCTACGTGCACGCCCTCCAAGCTACGTGCACGCCCTCCATGCTACGTGCACGCCCTCCAAGCTACGTGCACGCCCTCCATGGTAAAATTCCAGGCAAATTTGAGTCTACCAGAGGGGAGATTTGTATACAGGTACTTTGTTTATGGGCAGAATTGTGGGTTCTGAAACCTTGTGAAACACTAAGGCACAGCGGCGGCTTCGCGTCTTGCAGGTCGGCGTTCGATCCTCGATGGCCCCCCCAAGTTGTTGGGTGCTGTTCCTCTTCAGAATTGTTGTTTGGTTTTGTTTAATTCCTGTCTTTGGTGACCATGAATCAAACAGGTTCAGCTGCACCATTCTCAGCTGTCTGTACCAACTCTCAGCTGTCTGTACCAACTCTCAGCTGTCTGTACCACTCTATCAGCTGTCTGTACCAACTCTCAGCTGTCTGTACCAACTCTCAGTTGTCTGTACCACTCTCTCAGCTGTCTGTACCACTCTAT